TTTACTGTATTGGATTGTTCGGAATGTTCGTAGCGTTTTTAGAAGCAAAGCTATAATTTGGACTGTGTTCAGAAAAAAATGTTGAAGACTTTAGGTGCTTATAGTACTCACCGAACGGAGTAAAAAATGTCTCATCAACATTGGTGTCATAACAAATTCTTTCGATGAAAACTACCGAAGTTTATTTTCACATTTGTTACAAATCATTCATACGTCTTCCTTCTATTTCAATGCAAAACTCATATAAGCGGATTATAGATTGACGTTCATTTTCAAATATTTCTTCCGTATCTCGTACTACCTGTTGTCATACAACCCGAAATTGATATAGGTACTTGTAAACTAATTTATCTGTTTGCATTCAATATTGCAAAGAGACTCACTTACGACATTGGAAGCTCATAAATGTAAAAATTAAATTTACATCAGACAGTTCGATTTTAGGGCCTATGTTGATTAGACATTTTTACCCGATTCGGTAAGTGCTATAGGCTCTAGTGATGGGCACCATCGACTAAAAACTATCGACTAAGTCGATAGTAACCAACGACTACTTTCAGTCGAGTAATTTTTTCAATCGTCGACTACTTTAGTCGCTTGAAGCGACTAACTTCAGGCGAATAATATTAGTCGCTTGAAGCGACTACTTTCAGGCGACTAATATTAGTCGTTTGAAGCAATTACTTTCAGTCGACTAATATTAGTCGCTTGAAGCGATTACTTTCGGGCGACTAATACTAGTCGCTTGAAGCGATTACTTTAGTCGATTAAATTTAGTCGCTTCAAGTGACTCGCTCGAACTATCGAGCTATTGATCGCTATTGACTGGATCTTGATTATTTTCTTCGCGATGCAAACGAATTGTAATTTTTCCATATATTTTTTATGCATTACCAAGAACTGTGCAAATTATTGCTTATAACCTAATTGATTTTCATAAAAAATTTAGAGCAGTCAATTTTTTAAGTGCCAATATTAAATAGCTTACAGAAAATCGTATATTAGTAATTGTTTAAAAAAACTTGTTTACCACTTATATTTTTGAAATTCTATCTATGAACTAATACATTTCCAAAAGGTAAATACACCAATGGTGCTGAAAAGTTGATGACATAATCTATACATAACCTATAAAAAAAAATTTCAGTCGACTAAAAACTATCGACTAAATAATCGATAGTATGTTGCGACTAAATAATCATTAGTCGATAGTTTAATTTAGTCGATGGTGCCCATCACTAATAGGCCCCTAAAATTTTAGACCCTTTCTTTTGAACACCATGTATTTGTCAATTTATGTCATATTCTTCTTTGTTACTTTCTTTTACAATTTCTTTCCATTGTGCAATAATTTCATTGTATCAGTTATATACGACGTAGATTTTTTTAGTTAAAGAACTCTTGAACCTGAGTGAAGAAATGAATAGATAATTTCACATAGGAAAATCAATGGTTCTATCAAAAGAGAAGTACATGGAAAGCGGCCACGTTATATGTAGTACCTACTCTTAGGGCATATGATGCATTGCGAGTAATGTGAACAGCCTGGTAACGTGTGCCGACCTTCAGTCACGAAAGGATTATCACGATGTTTTGTAGGATAATAAATTGTTTTAATGGTTGGATCGTATGGTAATTGGATCCAAAGGAGAAAGTAAAAATTAGCGTTATTGATAGTTCGTGCTAATTGTAACTCTGATTCTCAATTCAGTAGTCGTAGATAAGGTGTAGCACTATACTACTGGTAATAAAGAAAACTAGTCAGGTCACATTAAACTCTACACTAAAGAAGCGAAGAAAGTTTCACTTGAAAGGTGACTCACCTTATTATTACCTCTCTGAATACCTGTCTTGTTTAACTCGAGTTTGCAAATTGTCTAAACCGCCCTTCTGATCAGATCGCTTCACTATGCAGGTAATGCTGAATTTCATGTTAAATAGATTTTATTATAAACGAAATTGCATTGAAAACTGGAGATGAAAACATTCGGGACTAACGTTATGGCAAAGAATACAATACACTTATACAGGGTGTCCCAGCTAACTTGATCACCTCGAATAATGACTTAACGGTAGACTTTATGAAAATTTCTAGGCGTGGAACTTAAATAGCATCAAGGGGTACATCTTATAAGGTGCATGCTTTTTTTGTGGGTGGAGGCATTTCAAGAGATTTCAAGGTAACTTTGATTTTTTTTTAACGGAATGATCTATTTTTCGTGCCACAGATCGATAGAGTATCATATTCTAAGTAAAAATGTGTTGACCTTCATACGTCCTAAACCTAATAGTTAACGAGATATTTACAAAATAATTTTTAATACGTACTTACTATCTGGAAGCTGTAGCAACTTCAATACAGTGATTATTTTATAAATATCTCGTTGATGCCATCAAGTTCCACGTCTCAAAATTTTCATAAAAGGTACCGTTAAGTCATTATTCGTGGTGATCAAATTAACCGAGACACCCTGTATTTCTAGCATTTATTTGCCATAGTTATATGTTATTTTACGGACAGATTATAATACATGCGGAATACTTTATACACAGATCATCCTACTTTGTTAGAATATGAATACTTCAAATACAGGTTTTTTCTCCTATACACACGCTAGTAGTCTTAATAGCGATCAGTATTCCTCTTGTTACAGTTTCTGGTTTATTTTTTCCATAGTTCGTTTAATTTATTCTTTTTTGTTCGAGTGATCTGAAATAAAATCTTGACTCATTGAACTGTTACTTAATAAATGTTTATTTTCTGTAGATATAAAATTTATTGGTATTCGTAATCTATAAATACTACGAAAGTGGAATATGAAAGTCAAACTCTGACAGATGAAAAAATCAATGCTTGTTATATATCAAAACTGTATCCTTAGACGATAAAATTTAAATTTATTTAAGATACTTTCGCATTTGGAATATATTAGGTGTACCAATAAGTATAGTAAAGACACCATGAGAGTTTGAAACTCAGGACCGCTTCAAAACTTTCATGGTGCACCGCGAATCGTATCAACATCTCACTAATCTATTTTTTGCCCGAAACCCGAGTTTCGGCAGCAAAAGGGAGCAATAAATGATGGACTTGACAGGTTCCATGCCCTCCCCCCTTCCCTAGAATCAGTGGCAGGGACGAAGTAGAAACTCTCACAAGGAACTTTCTATCCAACTCTTATGGAGCCTTTAGAGTAGCCTTCACTGTAGTTCCAATATGGTGACAATACATTTTAGATTCCAAATATGTATTTTACCAATTTTCTGTTTGGGTAAAATGGCAGATGATGTTGGGAACAAATAACGAATATTTTTAGAATAGGATATGTACTTGAACTATTTCAAACGAAGTACTAAGTTTCTCAAGAAAAAGTGGACTACTTATTGGTCTAAGTAGTAGTTGTAGGAGCAAGTGACAGTGGTAGGTTGTTCACTCATCGCTATGAATACTGAGCTTATCGTATTATTACCACACACGTCATAATTAGACTTGTCCGCGCACAGTTCAGAGGAGATACGCACACGCGAACCTAAGAATCCCATGGAGCAACGTTGTAATTGGCACTACGCGCAATAAACCTCCCCATGGAGTTCGAAATTCTAGTGTTCCGCGATGCTCAGAAGAAGCATAAGACCAGCATAATTTGAAGGGTCCAGTGCAAGAGCTATATCACAAAAATGTTGAAAAATGAGATGTTTCATTAACTCTGGCACCTCTTGGAGTTTACATATTACCGCTACTTTTTATAAAAACCTTAGTATCTGACAACGCTACTGTTGTAACATAGCTCCCTTTAGTACTGGACCTCTGAATTGTTATAACGGTCGATGTTTGAACGTCCCGTTGACACATAAGAGCATTTTAGACCACGAAGCAAATTGTCTCACTAACAAAGGAACCTGGAAACTTCGATTTTTTTTAAAACTCCGCAGGTCTGGTAGGGGACCTTAATATAGGTAACATCGGGCAATTTTCTGTTCTTGCTGATGTTAGGTTCTTTGGAGTGAAATCCCTTAACCTTGAAAGTTAATGTGCGTTTTCCTATCGTCCTGTATATCTTGAAAACTATAGTAAATACAGAAGAACTGTTAGAATAAAAATTTAATGGCTTCTTATGTTCTATGAAACTGTGTAACGAAATTACTAAAAAATTGTTGTTAACATGAATAAACAAATAATAAAAGAAATAATAAAAAAAAACAGTTTTTTGGTAGGTAGCTACCATGATTTTCAAGATGAATATACAAGGAGATAGAAAATCGCACATTACCATTTAAAGAGTGGGTTTACCCTGAAGAACTGCTTATAAACAAAAATGAAAAATTGTCCGATGCTGCTATATATTAAGGTCCTCTAGAAAGTTGCGGAGTTTAAAAGAATCAGTATTTTCAGGGTACCTACTGAAGTTCTTTTGTAAGTTACTTTATTACATGTGATATTCCACTGAAAAATCAGGTATAATAGATCAGTGATAGTTTTAACAATCTTTTGTATATTATTATAAAATTCCTTCTGTTCTTGCAGAAAGCCTTTCTGCGTACAAGAGACTAGCCTATTACTAAACTAGTACTGTTAGTATGAAGTCATCCCATAAGTAATGCCAATTTCCTTTAGCGGTTGTAGAAGGGAAACTGGAAGTTGATAGTGAAAAGTTAGTAGGAAGTTGGGAAAATGTTGTAGAAAATGAGGGAAAATATATACTGTGAGAAGATTAATAGTTCTAATTACGTTTTTATACTTCACCTACAAGAAACGTCGAAGAAAATTTGCATTACTTATGGGATGACCAAATAGTAACAATACCATTACCACTAAAAAAACGAAATAATATTAAAAGGTGATCATTTGCATGGAAGCCACACAGGCTATATAAGTATTCATTCCCAGAACAGAACATTATTGTATCAATTACACAGTAAACAAAGATATTTTAGCTCTACGTTAGCAACGTTTGACACACGATCGCTCGGTTTCGTAACACGAACAATCTCTGTTTCAGGTCTCCGCGAGTCGGAGGGCCCCTCTCGCAGTCGTTAGCGATGATCCCGCCAACGATGCACGGCCACGAATTCAATCAACCCCTGTCGAGGGTGGTTATGGTCCGTAAAACGGATCAAAGGACGTTCAGCAAGGGCAGGAGGGGCGGCGAGCCTCTCCTCGAAACGGTAACCAGGGAAACCGTCGAGCTTTTCAATGGCGGTCGCGCTGAAAGGAAATACACGTCCGAAACCAGAGACATCGTTACGCCAAAGTCAAACAGGTACGCACCTAATTACTCCATCGAAATGGAAAAGTAAGAGAAAGTCAAACTTCCTGGAATGTGAACCAAGTCGACATATTCGAACGGCCGCTGGCCTGTTTACATCAGTATCTAGGCCTTATATCGGTCTCGACGAATATTTTCGTTCCTGCGAATCACATTCCAAGTACATTATTTTTAACGACCGTTGTTAGCATAAACCGGCTAATGAACACGGGTTTGTTTCCTTCGAAAAATCGTAAAGAATATACCGCACGTCTTTGGGTAAAAACTTAGAGAATGCAGAAATGACCGATGGATATTCGTTATTAGACTGCGAACTTTATGTAATCCTAACACAGACGATTCTTCAAAATCCAGTAGTGTATAAAGTTTGGTAGTGTTTAAGGGAGGTTTTCATTTTATTGGAAATTTTACGTATTAAATAGATCAAAGAAATTTCTATTAGATTCCAGCTTGTGTAAATTAGAGTACAGAAATCTCGATGGTTGCATAAAAATTCGCAGCTTACTGATCAGAGTGTTTTTGTTCAGAAATTTCTCATTTTCGTGTAGTAAATTGTTATTGGTAGTTAGAGGATTGGATATTCCAATTAGTTCATTGTCGAGTAACTTACAGATGTTATACAGTGTAATTTAGGTAAATTGATCGATATAATTATACTTAAAACTGTCTACAATAAAGACAGCTATGTCTGTTGAGTATTAAAAAATAAAAAGTTGTTGCTTTTTAATGAGTAGCGTTAAAAATTGCAGTTTTGTTTGAATTAATTATGTGTATACGGATACGTTCAATATGAAGGTTTTTATGAAGGTCAACACATTTTTCCTCAGATTTTAATAGTCTGTATATCGATCTATGGTACAAGAAACAAGGTGACCTTGAAATCTTTGAAATGTCTCCACCCACAAAAAAAGTATGAACCTTATAATATGTGCCCCTTGATGCCATTTAAGTTCCACGCCTTAAAATTTGCATAAAGTGTACCGTTAAGTCATTATTCGAAGTGATCAAGTTATCTGAGACGCCCTGTACATATTATATATACTTTATTTCATAATTGAAAAATAATTATATATATTTGTTTTAATAAATTGTTCAGCACTCTTAAATTTTCATTATAAACGCTTACCATATAAGTACATTGCTGTATAGTGTTTTATCACAAATTTTTGCATTCTTTAGATAATTATATCGGTCACTTTATAAAAAATGACACTTGTTCTTTATCTTTTTCTGTACAAAATATAAATGATTTATTTCCTTTTTCTTATTTGTTAGCAGTTTAATCTTCTAAATATTGTATAGAATTCGGGTAATGGAAAGATGCACGATCTGTAATTAGTCTGTGTTACTAATTGTCTAAAATGTTTACTAGTATACATGAATACATACATTAATATTCATCAATACTGTACTTTTCCTTGTTTCCAGTTAAGTATTACACTCATGCATACGAATTCCGTTTTCCTACGTGTATAAATAGTCACACGTGTGTACATATTAGCGTAAGATGTTCCGAGAGAAAATTCTAAAAACATGTAACACCAGCCCACGGGGTTCGAAACAAGGCGTGGGAACTTACATATTTAGTTAGGACTTCTGACCACGTTCAGCTACATCAGCTATAAGAGCAATGCGAACAAATGTTTTCATGATATGTGTATCATCCAGTATGAATTTATTTTTTTTAGTTTCCTCAGAATAATATGTTCATTTAATGTGGTATTATGTTTATTTACGAGTATTTTAAGCAGACGAAGATAAGTTTTAGCTCCCACAAAAATGTCATTTAACTGAAACACTTAATACTCATTATTCTAACTACTCTATGATTAACAATTAAATTTGTACGTTTACCATTTCGAGCAAATATTGCATCATTTACTACGATTTACTTTATGACTCAAAAATATATCATAGTGAAAAACTGTACTTGTAAACAGAATTAGTTTAATATTGTGTTTGAGGAAATTTCATTAGTATTGCTATAGATATTTATGCAATGTTCCCGATTTATAGATTAATTTTCGAAGCTGAGAGATAAGTACAGATACAAGTAAAAATTCATTTTTTGGGTCAATGATTCCAGCTTATAAATTTCTATCCCATTAAACTTAAACATTCAAATATATTGTGAATACGTATACTCCACGATTAATTGACATTCTTACAATAGTGATTCAAGTGAAGCAACGTTTTGTTTTTATCGAAACTACACGACCGACAAGCCTTCACCGTCTGACCCCTTACTTTTACATTCAATTTATACTGTCCTTGCTTACGTAACTGAATAATTTGACGAGTCACATGTTTTATGGCTTTATTTGCGTGCTGTTTTGTCTAATCTAATGTATTCTCGGTTATACGTATTAACATTTTGTTCCTCTAGCAACAATTTGTTTCTTTTTTCCGTATACCAAATTTTTTCCCTTTGGACCACAGTGCTGTTCAGATATTATTTGTCGTCTACAATTATATTCCCATCACGTTCGAGACCAATTTGTTTTGACCATGTGTCGCTTATACACTCATCTCTCTTGTTTTAATGGTAAACAACTTTGAGAGCATTCGTTGCCTTTTAATGATGCACTCTGCAAACAGCGCATCGTCAGTGTTTACCCATGGAGACGGTTGACACAGTGAAGGTGTTAAACGCGTAGGCAAACATGACTACTGTTAGCATAAAAAAATCTTGTGATCAAAGTTACGAAGACAACTTGGCTATATTTCTGTATTTTAAATTTGTTAGATAAAAATGTTCAGTTCCATCGTTTCCTAAATGTTGACACCAGGCTAAAAGAAAGAAGTTTTCGAAGTCGTTTACCTTTTACGAACAATTCACCTTCGAATACTATAGAGCGATACAAAACGCTAAAAAATTATTTTCTTTGTCTTATTGTTGGTTCTCCGATTTAAAAGTGAATAATCCTCCTTTTCGTGGAATTAATATTTTTCAAATCTTCTATTAATTTAGAAATAAAAGAATTTCTATTTGCATTCTCTACACTATCACACCACGCTCTGACCATTATTTTCTGACTACATAATGAATGTCATTTTTAAATTGCAGAGTTTGAACGATTATGACTTATTGCGAAACAAATACGGTAATTCTGCAGTTTAGAGGTTTTTCTCAATTTTAGCTATTTTATTGCGGCTTTGTTTGTAAAATAGTTTCATTTTATCGTTAAAATGACTATTGTTTAGTATACTATTGTTTAAAAAAGCATGAGAAATTATTCGGAATGATACACTTAATACCGATTTCAATGAAAAATCAGGCGGAGGGATTACTATTGTTTAAAAAAGCATGAGAAATTATTCGGAATGATACACTTAATACCGATTTCAATGACTTTTGGATATGTTGTGGAACACAACATTTTGAACAACTTTTTCCACTACATGTTAGCACCGATTGGGCTTAGTCATCGAGATATTTATAGCTAACATTGAGAAAAGCCGTTAAACTGCACAATTATCACAAATACTGTTAATCGAAATAAGATCCATCTGAATCGACACATTCTTGGCAACGAGTTACAAGCTTCACAATCCCCAAGTTTAACCATTTTAAAATGGCTGAAATGTATCGTATTGGAAAATTACATTTACTATTCTTAAATTATATAAAAGTAAATGATTTTAATTACCGTCTTTGGTTACTTTTTTCCAAACTTGAAATAAGTAACCGACTTTCTCTCTCTGGACTGAATTCGAAAATAGTCCAGCCGAGAATCCAGATTCTCAGACATAGATTTCGCCCGAAACGGAATCTTGTTCGAGATATGTTTCGAGCGTGCTAATTGATTCGCGGTCGGGCGCGTTTCTCTGGCGCGAGCGCATTAAATTCTCTCGGGATAGCTGTTGAACACGCCTAAATCTAAGTAAAAGTCAAATATCGTCTTGTGTACAGCATAAATCGTTACCCTTGTAGTATGCCCTCGCTCGCTGTTAATGGAACGAAAAAGAAGGTGGTCGGCTTTGTCGACCAGCTGTCGCCCGAAAGGTATTCATCTATGGTCCTGAGACATGTAGCCAAGCCAGAATGCCGGTTCTAATGAAGCCTAACCACGTTCGAACATCGGGCGAAAAAGCCCCTTCCTCTCCTATTTGTACGTCATCATGCGTTTGGGGGCTTCGTTAGGGTCGGTGAATGGCCTTACAGTTAGTTTCGATGGTAATGAGTAATGTGACGTAAGCAACGACCGCGAAGCTGAGAGAAAGTACGGTTATCTCTGTCAGAATTTCTGAAAAACGACAGTTGTGGGCTCTTGCACACTTTTGACGCGGATCGGGAAATCGGACGAAGCCACACACGTGTTTTGTTTCTACGGAGAAAAGAATTGTCTCTGAAAAATTTTGTTAATATCAAGAAAATTAAAGAAATTATTGTTTTTTGTTTTATTCGATTATTTACGTAATAAAGGTTACGTTCATTTATTGAAAACTGATGGTAACTTGTATAAAATTATTGTGGTAAAGAGGATCATCGTTTTGAAAAACAGAATAATATTGTTTTTGAAAATTAGTTATTATTAGAGTATCTTGGTTTAGTAATAGATGTGTTGCAGTTATTTTATTAGGAACTTGTAGCCGTGTACTTAAGGGGGGACACTCCTTTGGGGCCAACTCCGAATCGATTGGAAATATTTCCAATTTTTGAACCCCGAAAGGAAATAATTCAAAATTACTTGTATAAAGAAATTGTCCTTTATTACGTAGATTGTAGACGTTTTTGGTTGTACGGAGACTGACTCTAAGCCATTTGGCGGTGAAGCGTAAGGAAGAAAGAGAGTGTGGAAAAAAGAAACTTGGATTGGTCATTGAAAAGTAGGGGTGGTGTAGTTGGAGATGGTTGTGATTTTTAAGGAGACGAGGAGAAAGTTTCCTGAGGACCATGACTAATCTGCTTGTTTTCGACGAAGTCACGAACGGTTGGAAGGGACTAAGGGCACGAGTGTGTGACAATGTCCAGACGCGCTAAAATGTACTATGTACAGGGGTCTCGCGATTATTGTCCCGAACTCGGGTCCGCTCAGGGACTACAATCGTGGACTACGCGAAACTCTTCTGACCCTCGTGAATACGTTTTTTGCCCGAAGCTCGAGCCTCGGCAACTCGCCTTTATAGTATTCCGAACGTAGAAAAGGACAAGCGAGTGAAAAGCACAGAGAAAGCTTCTTTTCCCACTTGACTCGGCTGCGTGGCCCGCCTGCGACGCTCTCGCCGACCAATGGTTACATTATAGCCGACCACACAGTCCGATTGTGTGTGTACCGTTTCGGCCAGTAATAAAAATACGTGTGACTGGAGGTGATCCAGCTACATTTTATTCGTCAGCGATTGAACGCTTTGACTAATCGTCGTAAATTCTCCCGCTCCGTTCGTCGAGTACATCGAGCGCATACATTGTTGCCCGGCACGGGAGACAACACTAATGCAACGATGAAACTTTTCTATTTTTTATTCGTTGTTAATGAAACTTTAACTAGTATATTGGTGAGATTTTTCTCATTAAAATGATACCAAATATGACCCAAATTGTATCGTGTTTGGTATCATTTTAATCAGAATAATCTCATCAATATGTTCATAAAAGTTTCATTAATAAAGAACCAAGAATAAAAAAGTTTTATCGTTGCATGAGTATCGTCTCACCGACACTCGGGAATGTAACCTTTTTGTGGGCTCCCAACGTACAGTTGTCGGCTCGTGAACGGGAAGCCGTTTCGGCGCGCTGCGGCAACAAAGTATGCGGTTGCCGAGTTCCATGGCCCCCCCCCCAGTGGTGGGGATGATGCCTGGACAGTAATCGCATATCAACAAAGAGTCAATAATCGCGAGGCCCCTGTAGTAGAAAATTACGAGATATCTAACAATGTAAAGAACACGAATTTATTGTGACATAATGTTCGGAGGATATTATGTGTGGTTTCTTCCAAAGAAATTTGCGAGATTTTTCTGTGCAAATGAGAAAATTGTTGTTAGAATCACTATTACAGTGCAATGATATTAATTATAATAGAGAGGACTGATGACGTGCACTCAGTGAGTTGGGAAACACATATTTTGGGAATAAAAAAATGCGCAATAAATGAATCTGCAAGTCCAAAACGGATGAGAATATTCTGCGAGTACATATGTTAAAAGAAGGGAAGAAAGGATATTATACTAATTAAATAAGACGGACAAGTCAAAGGTCAGTCTCTAAGAATTTTTAATTACCAAGAAGGTCCAAAAAAGGCTATTTTTAACATCCTAATTTAACATCTGGCCAACTTCTCCTGTTAGTGTTATTTCCCACGAATGACAAGGAGAAAGTTAAATTCCGTTAGAATCCTCTCGAGGCCATATCAAAGGGTGGCAGATCACAAAAATCTGTGCTCGCGTACAGCTTTCCAAATAAACAGTCGCGCGCGCGCGGAACAATGGCCCTCGGTACATTTACCGTTAAATCCTGAAGCGTTTCGCGAGGGTTAATAAATTCACGTGTGCGCGAGGCAGCGGAGGACGGCGAGAAAGGAAGGGGGCAACCTTTCTTCTGGTCGACCGTGGCCGTGGTCGTGGAGACCTGTAGGAAGAAGGAAGTAAAAACGCGCGCGCGCGGGGGGACACCGCAATCGTACATATTCACCGGCCATAGTCCGAGTCGCGTAATTCTTGGATGTGTCGCGTGTTACTCCAGAGCCCCCTCCCCCTCTTTCTTTCTTTCTTCCCTCTCTCCTGTATGCAATGTACATACGTACACCGATTTCTCTCGGCTTCTTCGTCGTTACTTCACCGCCTGAATGCTGCTGACACTGTAAATACGCTGAGCTGTTGCGTGACAAAAGGAGCACCGTCGCGGCGGCCACATTGAAAATGTCGAGCTTCGCCTCGGTACAGCATTCTCAATGGAAATTTAATCGCTTTGCGCCGCTTTCGGTCGCCATCGTTCGTGGCGAAACCGTAGCTGACGCTCTACTCTACCTACTCCATTCAATCGTTTCCAATTCAAACGTTTGAATATTATTTCACTCTTTGCGAGAAATGATACACTGGATTTTTCATGTTCTTTTGCGCTACTATTATTTATAGGTCGAAGTGTTTTGTGTTAGGATGTCCACTTGAATTTGTTGCATTTTTGGAACAAGGTGTTTGAATTTTTAATATTTATGGTTTCAGAGAATTTTGGCGTAATCAGTGTTAGCCATGCGGAATTTAAAAATTACGTATCTTACTAATCTATGTAGAGTCGCGAAACCAGTCACGGTTCATCTTGAAGGCAACTTGTTGTAGAGTGTAGAGGATGGGGGGCCTGATTTGACGATTTCAAATTACTCGTAAATTACTTACTGTGAGAACAGAGGTTTCAAAGAAATGTTACATAGTTTGTTGGGGAACATACCTACGTTAGAGAATTATTTTTTTTCTATATTGTTTACATACAAAATTCACCTTGATTTTTTTGGTAAAAGTTATGTTTAGGGGATGAGGCTCCGATGACCTTGTCCTCGACATATGTATGTTATTAAGGGCACTCTTCTGTGTAATCCTCAAGAATTTTTTTTACTCGTTGCTCGTTTTTTTATTAAAAACTTATCACCAAAGAAAGTTTGCAACATGTACCGGTTATTCCAACCAGTTACTCCAACACACAGTTCAAGAAAAACAGAGTTGATTAGAAACAGTTCAAGAAAAAAAATTCATTCAGAGTTGGTTGGATACTGTTCAAGAAAAAGTTATCATTATTCTCATAATAATTTTTTAATAAGCATTTGACAACTGAAACTTTCTGAGGATAACTCATGTCAAGGCTATCGGTCATTTTACGTATCAATATTACTAAAAAGTACGATACTAAACTTTTTTTGTTAATAACTGTTTAATAAAAGACAAGCGATGGCTAACAATGCTTGGAGGTTACTCAGAAGAGTGCCCTCAACAACATGTGTCAGGGTCAAGGTCATCGGAGATGCATCCCCTAAATGTAACTTTTAAATGAACATTACAAACTGAGTAAATAAGTATTAAGGCATAACAGGTCTAAAGTAGGTCTTTAGTGACACATTTACAATGGAAACTGTATTAGAAAATGTTCGAACTGTTGACCGTTGTTACTAGTACAAATCTACTAGTAGATATCTAATAGTTTGACACATGACGGATGCTGATATTCTAGAGTATTTCTGGAAATTTTTGAACGTGCACTAATGATAGTTATTGCATGCTTTATAGAGTCGTCAATGGCTCAATAAAATTGAATAAAACCCGCTTTGTAATACCTATTTGTACTCACATTTAATTCCCGTACAGAAATACAGGGTGTCTTATTTTTGAAAAAAAAATAAATAGAAGAAAATAATTTCTTCGACGTATGTTCCCCTTGAAAGTATGCAACTTTTATTTAAAATATTTCTCCTTATAGCAATTAATTTCAGAGTACACAATTCGAAATCGTTAAGATAGGTGCCTCATCCAGTAAGTCACATGAAGATACAACACTTGATACAGAACGCTTACGGTTTAAGTGGTAATATGGGTAAAATTTTATACAGGTAACCCCAGATTCGTAGGAAATCACAAGAGACCGTCAGTAATTTTAGTTAGGAGGGCTTCTGAAGTTTTTAATTGTAAGAACTAGTTAGTCCTTGTGGGTTAATGGTTTCTCGAGTTCAGAATGCTTCTTTATCAGATCATCTATAGCGATTCTGTGTTAGATATTTTTAGCCTCGTAAAATGTAGATTATATCTGGTACACAGTGGCCTTGGAAATTTTTGTTGTTGGGATCCTCAGTGTTCTTGACATTCTTGGAAGTGTCGGATGGATATGGCAGGTATTCATGACCTGAAACATTTGAAGTTTTTGAGAAGGTTAAATTATTTTAAAAGGATCGGAAGCATCTGAATGTACACCTGCTGGTGCTGTGTTTGTTTTTATATCTGACTGTACATATAGTTAGGGACTGCAACTGTTCTTGTTGTTCTGATGTCATTCCTGTCTAATTCCATATGTCCGATAACACT